CAATTTACTGTAATTGCAGTTTTTCAGTTTTCCTGTGAATGATCTCAGACTTATCATCTGATGACTGAATGAAGTAGTAACTGTTGCAATATTCTTGGTTGATTACTGGTTATCTGTGGGTCATAATGTTATTTTTCCCCTGAAAAATTACTTTTATTTTTTAAAATAAAAAACCGTAACACTTTCTGGCTACCAGCTCTACACAAACAAAAAATTATTTTTCCTGATGATATCTGTTTTTTCAGAGAAAAAAAACAGGTTAAACAACTCTACAGCAGATTAATTTTGCCCTGAACTTCAAATCTAATTTGATGAGAGTTTCATTGAGTCAAACATTGGCTCTCCTTCATGCTGCCTAAATTGCAGTAACAGATAATAAAGCCTTGCTCATGCTACTTTCTCTTTCCAGGAAAAAGTTGCCATAAAGAGGCTGTGAGGCTTGGCAGAGACATACATGTGTTCAGAAAATAAGTTTGGGGTTTTAATACGATCTTATTCTGTAAAACTGGGGCAACTTTCCCTTTTTTCAGGCTGAAATTTTCCCTTATTGACATCTCTCTTAACTCCTGGGTTGTGTTACCTTAGTACTAAAAATCTTGTCAATATTACACGTATGCAGAAATGGGTAAATAGGGCGGATGTTGATGTTTTGTTGCTGTTGAAATGTGAAGGAATGTGGAAAAAGGAGTCTTCCTTTGTGCCACTCAGATATACCAGCAGAAGGGACTGAGAGCCAAAGAGCCCAGAGGAACCACCAAGCTCTGAGATTCACCCTAGGAGATGTAAAAAATTGCAAGGCAGGAACTCAACAACATTTACCTCTCAAAACCAGGCAGCCATCTGACCTAAAAATGGGCTGATAGGTCATGGCCCATATGCACAATACCAGTCCCAGTTATTTTGTGCACATATTGTTAAAGAAGCCTCTGCGGCAGATTGCAGTCTGGATTCCCTGAAGTCAAAAAAATAAATATATAATTTGTGCTTTGCCTCTTTAGGAAGTCAGACTGCACAAGGGAAAAAAAGCAGCATTTGGGGTCTCACTGGATTCCTTCCATGACATCAAAGTTAGGTAAGCTATGTCTTCATTTTTTAAAAAGAAGCCTTATTTCAGCAATGTGATGGCACCAGAAGGTTCCTCAGTCAGAATTCTTCCAGTGTGCAATGCAAGCAAAGCCTGCATCCCCAAAACTGTGTTTCTTTGGTCCTGAGGAAAACACACACACCAACTCTGCTTCCCACCTCAGCACACCCAGAGCCTACAAAGCCAGCAGTCTGAGAAGCCCTGGGGAAACCTGAAGAGTTTTAGATTAGAGACTCAGATTTGGATTAGGGACTCAGATTTGGATTAGAGACTCAGATTTGGATTAGGGACTCAGATCTGGATTTCTGACTCACCTGACAGCAGCCACCAGCACCTCCAGTGATGATGGAGACACCAAAGAGAGCCCAGGGAAATGCCATTTCTCCCAGCAGTGTCCCTCCAAACAGCTCTCCCCACAAAATGAGCAAAAAATGACTTTGCCTGGGGAGCTGTGTGGTGATTGCTGCCACCTGACAGCAAAGTAAACATTCTGATTGCAACAAACTGAGCAGAGGTGGGATCTGTCCCCACTGCTGAGGGACTGACCCACTCCTTCCCCTCCATGGAAAAGGGATTAGAGAAAGTTTCTAACTTTTAAAACCTTTCTAACCTTAACCTCAGCCATAAAAATATTATACCTGCAAAAGGGGAGAGTAGCAAAAGGTGCCTGTGCTGGTATTTGTGGGAGTGTACTTTTAAGACAGGAATATGAACACCTGACAAACTTCCCAGATTTTCTGTTCTTTGTATGATCAAGGACAGACTCTGCAGGGGTGGGTGGGGATGGTACGAAGTTTTTAAGCATTTAAAAGCAATGTGATTCTTAGCTGGGAGGATCCAGAAGAATAGGATGGTCAGAACCCCATCCCTAGAGGTAACAAATCCTAGGACAGTAGGCTGAGCTGTGACATTTTTCTGCCAATTTTAAAGCACTGAGGTTTCCTAAATAGATGGGCATATTTTTCACTGTCTGCTCTAGTCAGTTTTCAGACATGCCCTCATGACACAAACTCTTCAAAAGGTCCTTTCTTATCCAACCTGGGACTTCACAGTAAAGCAAATATTACAGACTTCACTCAGGCACAAGGTTTGTATGAGCTAAAGGAAGGTTAAAAAAAAATTAATTAACCCAGAACTCAGCAATGACTTAAGCGAAGTCTGGTGCATTAAAGTTTAAGAGCCATAATAAAAGTGTCTAGCACCTGGGACATAAATCCTGATTTTTCATAGGGGCTGATTTCTGAACTGGCTTCAGATCCTTACAAATGCTGCTGTGGGTAGGAGAGCAGCCCTGCTTTTCCTGTGTTTGGCATCTGGGCATTGCTTTTGCCTTCCTGGCCAAGCAGGGACCTGGGCACCCTGCAGCTGGAGCAGGGACAGGGCAGCTGGAAGGAGTGGAGCTGCTCTCTCCATCCCCCTCAGAGCACAGAAACCACCTGGAGTGGAGTTCTGAGCTGACACCAGCTGCGGTCTCTCTGAAACTGGAGCTCCCAGTGGCTCTGCTTGGTGACGAGCTGTGTAAATGCCACTAAGGGCAGCTAAGCCCCAGTCTGCTTGGTGTGGCACAGTGGGTGGATTCCAGCCCTGTGCCAGTGAGTGTCAGAACTGGCCTGGCTGTTTCACTGGTGTTCCTGGCAGTGGCAGCCTCCCAGCAGGTGTTTAATTTGCACATTATAAAGGGCAGATATAAAATCAACTCCCTCACACGTAACAGCCCTGCAGAGCACACAACCCCAGACTGTGCCACAGCTCCACCTGCACATCTGGATCAGGGCTTTGCCTGCATCTGCCTTGGGCAGAGCCCGGGGCTCCCTCAATGAACACTGCTGGGCTCTGAGGATGGCTGCTGTGCTCTGGGCATCCACAGTGCCACCTCACAGATCCACACAGCAAACCAGTATGGGCTTCATCAGCTTTGTCTTTCAAAGGCTGTGAATATCCAAACGAGCCTTACACAACTAACTTAGACAACTTAAAACATTACATTACTTATGTAGTATCAAAATTTTAAGTGTGGGTGCACTTTAGTCTGTTAATTTTTTTTGTTGTTTCTCCTTTAGGGTAAGGTAATTATCTATTTGTCTCACAAATACTCAGTTTGGTGAGGATCCTTTCTTTCTGTGTAAGCTTTCTTTACATCATTCTAAAATAAAGGGGGTTAACTTACACCCCCATCAAAGTCCAGGATAATTGTCTAAATACCACCAAGAGCTTGAATAAACCAAAGTGGAATCTTCAGAAAGAATTATGTGCAAAATGAGAAGTGTTAATAAACAGAGGTTATTCTGAAATAATTTCAGAACAGTTTCCTTGAAAACTCAGAATTTAAAAACCCTAATTTGTACAGATACAATACGGTATCACCAGCAGGTAAAGCACAACAAACTTTCTCTTCCTGGGCACTAAAAACCATTGGGAGAGAGAGCAGTAGACACACCTCCCACATTCCTGTATCTCCTTTTACATGTCTGTCATTGGAGAAGCATCCAGAACAACAAAGATATTACTACAAAGAATTCTGTTCTTCTTGGCCAAGGGGGTAATTCATTAGCAGCTGTTAAAAATCACCACTGTGATGCCACAGTAAGAAAACACTGAGCAAAATTAAAGGGCAAAGAAAAGCTTCAATTCAACACTTTTGTTGATATGCTCTTAAAACTGGCATTTCTAATTCTGACTGTCTATACTGGAATCCTCAATTTTTTTTTTTTCTCATGCCCTCTTTATATGAACACTGCACAGATTATTTGCTTTCTGCTTTGCCCTCTCACTGTATTATTTTAAAACTGTGGGTTTGGAGTTTTTCTGGTCACATCAACTTCACAAGAGTTTGTTTCCTGGATCAAAGCCCTGAGAATTGGTACCCTGCAGCCCCAACAACCCAGTGCTGGTGGTGACACTGCAAGTGCTTTACTGGAAAGACACTGCCTGCTGCTGGGATGTTTCAAATGGCAGAGAAAACAAAAAGTATTTTAAAATCTTGCTAAAAGGCACAGGTTGGTCTCTGAAGCCCACTCAGCATCTTGTATGATCAGTCCCAACTTAGTACTGCTTGGGATAGGTGAGTTTTGAAAGCTGGAGTTACACTTAAAGGTTCCCTTAGGAAGAAAGGAGGGGGAGAGGCCAAGACACAGGAAAAAAAAAGTCAGATTCTGACATCTTAGGTTCATTCTCCTAGCAGTAATTAATAACTCTCAGTACTTACCTATCTACAGCTTCTTTAAAGTGTCCTGTGTCCATGCCAGCTTCCTCTGGAGTCACTGAGAATCAAACCAGGTGGAAAATGTACCCTGATGCTTACTTTACCACAGCATGGATCAGTACTACCTTTAATCACAGCATTCCCTCCCCTGGAAAAGGGGAATTCGTAGAGGATTTTTGTAAACATAGCCACCACACACGGCAAATGTCAAGATTTTAATGACACTCGCTTTCAGTACTTTCCATCTTCAAAAGGCTTCCCACTGGTTAAAGTATTTGGGAGTAATGACTGCTCAAAAATGCCCTGTGAAGTAAGTGCTCCAAGTACAAAGCTGTTTTCTGGCATTCTCTCCCTTGACTTCATCACCCCCAAAGCCTTAGAATGGGAGCTGTATTCAATCACTGCTACACAGTTCTGGCATATTAAAAACTCCTTCATGACCCCATGGTTAGCAGGTAGGTACTTCTGCTGCTTAATTTGTCCAGCATTTTACTGTAAGTGAGATAACTGGCTCGGCCTCCAGGCTTGGCAGGGTAGGTGCATGTCTGCCACTTCAGCCTTGCTCTGCTGTTCTTACATGCCACACTTCATCCAGGAGATTTTTTTTCTTCTTTTAATCCAGCCTAAAGAATTTATTTCAGAGCAGCTCCCATCTCTGGGATAATTACTTAGCTGTACTCAACACCGATGATTTCATAACGTGCCACAAACAGGTGCCAATTCAATTCCTTTATTGGAGACAGAAACATTGAATACAGAACATTTGAATAGAGATTTGATGAAGGAAAACTGCAAATAGTATAGACTGTTTCTACTGCCAGCAAAACACAGTTCTTACAGGATGTACAGACGTACAAATATAGTGCTTCTTTCGTGCCAGATGGTCGCTACGTCACAATGCCATTAGGAGTTGTTAATTGTGCTTCTAAAAACCTTTAGAGAAGAATGAGGTAGAGTTTCCTTTAGTTTATCCAGTACTTTTTCACACATCTGTCCTTTACTGCTTTTATATGCTTCAGATTCTAGTAAAATACCCAGTTAACTTTCAGCATTTGAGAAAACAGAAACCCTTCAGAGGTGTTTACTTCTCCCTCCCTAAGTTGCTAATTTCCCACTGCAATTTCAGTAACCACCACTGCACCCTTCTAAATGCCTCAAGGGTCAAGTGGATCGGGACTTCTGGCTTTCCAACAGAAACTGTCTGTCAATAGCTTCAGATGAAACTGTAACTTGTCTCCATTACGGCAAAGAACCTTCTGCACCTTGTCACTCGGTGGCCAAGGTGGGTCCAAGGCATGTCCCAGGGGACAAAGGGGGCAGATCCACCCTCTGTGAACATTCTGGACTATGAAACAGCGTTAGTGATGTGTCTGTCTCCTGCCTGCAGCTCTAGTCCACCACTGGGCTTAATACAAATGATGGGAAGAGAATACATCAGTGACCTGTTAGATGGTGTGCAGCATCAGCTGTTTGACCAAATATCCCGCTGTTTTACAACAAACAAAAGTAATGCAGCTTTCAGTGAAGATACAGGGGCCCAAGTCGAAAATGTAGGCACAGATGGAGGTGTTTAAGCAAGTGAAGAGCATTAACACCAACTTAAATACCAACATCAGCCTCTGATCCTGCCAGACCTGTGGTGATCCCTCAGGGGACTGAACAGGAGTGATGTTGGATGTGATGTGCTGCTGACCTCCTGCCTCACTGACCTGATGGGTATTTATTTTCATTTCCACTGCTGCTCCTGCCATGCCTCTTCCTGACACAGCAGATGTCCACTCACTGCCCTGGCCTCTCCTGCCAGCACTCACTTTAGCACAAGCAGGGTGCAGTTCTTTCAGCCAAAATAATCACAATTCTAGTGGTGACCAAATCACAGTGACCAATACACAAAGAAGGTGATTACAGGAAGAATAAGAATGTTTGCTTTCTTCCTATAAGCTACTGCAATGTGATAGTGTAAGACAGCAGTTCAGCAACACTGTATCAGAACTCTAAAATGAAAAACGAATTTTTTATAAAAAGGTGCAAAGTTTAAAAGAGTCCACGTTCATACCTCGATCACTTTGACCGCAAAAGGACAGAAAATCTGTTTCTGCTAGACAGTACTGCCTGAGAAAAGCTTCTGAGCTCCTCCACCTCCCCCTGAAATGTCTGCTCCAAGCGTGACAGAATCAGGAACTACACAGAGTTAGCGTTAAGAGAACCAGCTCTTAGGAACTCCCCCAACTCTTGCTTAGAAAAACAAACAATAAGCTTTTTTTATCAACTATTCCCTGCATACCTCTTTGGTAAAAACCTAAAATGGCCAGTGCTGGTAAACCATTTGGAACACGAATCAAATGCTTGCACAAAGTTGTCTTCCCTGTTTCTACCTTAACTTTACCCAGCAGGTATTTTAAAGCCTTTAAAATTTTAAATCAAGGTCGTAAATCTTCCTTAAGATCTTCTCATGACTCTTTTATTTTTGTAAAGCATGGCACGAAAATGCAGGATTGTGCTAAAAATCAGATATGATAAATTAAATTTTAAGATAAGCTAAGAGTATAAATTCATGTTCAGAGAGAACTGCTGTTACTACTGGTGAATATAATTACCATTATTTTTTAGTATATTTGGGAGTGCCCAAAATAGTGTTTTAGTATATTTAAGTTAGCCTTGCTAGTATAATTGATAAGACTTCTGTTAGTATCTGAGCTACTAATTCCAAATCTGACTAATCTTATTTCAAATCTATTTATTGTTGTAATTCAGTTTTGCTCCTCCTGCTAAGTCCCCATGTTCTAGCTCAAGGTAATGGCAAAGTCAGTTTTGTTTATGGAGCTGGGGATATATTTGCCAATATATATATATTTACTATAGATGGCACTCAGATTTTGCACAGAGAAAATACTCTGGAATTCCTATAAATAAGAATCATGCTCACAGCAAGGCATGGACAGGAGGACTGCTACAACAATATTTTTCACCAATGCAATGCCAGTATTCTCTTCTGCTCTTATGGCTAAAAATACAAATAACTTATTAAGAAGTTTTTGAGCTTAAATTATTTAGGACCTATTAATTATTGTTCAAAATCTTGAGGTTAGAGTCAAAATACAGTAAAACACAGGCTTTTCATGCTTCCAAGTTGATAAGCATTGCAGTTCAGCAAATTTTTGGTCAAGATGGATAAAGAGGTCTGTCCCAGTGCTACATGACCAAGTGCACCTCTACGACAGCCCCATGCTCAGGACTTTACATTGAGAGGTGTCATGATTCCTTCAAGCATCACTTTCCTAACAGGACAGCCCAGTCTGAGATGAAATTCTCTTGTCAAGATCATTCTGTATACTAATTTTTACATTATGAACTATGTTTCTTACACATCTATGGGTTTATGCAGCAAATCATGAATATATTTCTCATTTAAGTAACATTTTTCCTTGCATGACCAAGTTAGTCTATTCTAATGTAATCCTTGAAATACTGGACTTTACATGGCACACTTCTTGTTGCTTAAAAAGCTTTTTCTGAAAAGCTTAATTTCATCTGTAACAAAGTAAGTTTTTAAGCAGAAGTCTGGATTAGAGTTAGAAGTGGTGTAAGTGGCAGTGCTACTGCAGTCAGAAATAGTTTAGGTAACTTGTCCAGGGTCACAAAGTCAGTGGCAGTCTGTCCAGGGATTACATGTCCTGGTGGTAAAGCACAATTCTGATCCTTCAACAGCTGGAATATGACAAAAAACCTACTTTTTTTGTTGTTTACTTTTAAACTGTCACTTCTGCTAAAAGCAAGAAGAATGCAAAATTGCTTAAATAGCCCCTTTTAGGTATGAGACAATAGCAGGCTGGGGAAAAAGGGGTGCAAGTCTTTGTGAAAGGGAGGAAAAGACAGCAAGGAACAGGGGCAACAATGATCTCAGCCACATTTACAGGACAGCAGCCTGCCTCCAGAACTCTGAAACTCACCCTCAGCAGAAAAAAGCAGTGTAGCACAGCCTGCCAGGCTGAGCCAGCAGCTCTGCACGCCCCTGTGCTCTGCTCCAGAGCAAGGCACTGACAGCTCAACCCAGCAACCTGCTGGGACCATGCACGTTGTTTTGGAGAGCTGAATTCAAGAGGGTTCCTCCTCTAATTAAGCAGCTCTGAGATCAGACCCAGCTGGTTTTTTCTGTCTACCTCTTGGAAGACAGACATTTCAAATAACTCGCACTCCAAATGACTTTCAAGTCATCGCATTTTTCCAAATTACCATTCTTCGTGCCTGAGGATAAATAATAAAAATAAAAGGAAAGGGTCTATGGTATGTCTGTGCTGAATTAGGCAAACCCAAACAAGAGGTTATGTACAAAGAGGAGGGCTGGCTGGTAACTGCTTTTTGGCTTGAGATAGCTGAACAGGTGTGAACAATGGCTGGGCACAGAGATCTCACCACCTTGCCTTTGTCTTATCAGTCTTCCCTTCTATACTCCAGAAAAATCCTATTTGCTTTGCCCTGCTATGGACTGAACAGATTATCTACCCCAGGAACCTTTATCAGCATCCTCACCTGGCTCTGTCCTTGCCAATTCCCAGTAAATTTGCCCTCACTGCAGTTAACAATCTGTTTAAGTAATGCCAGTTGCTGAAGCCATAATTCTTGGCACCAGAGCAGCTTGTATGAAATGCCAGTTTCATGAAAATTCTGTTATTTTAAGGACTTTTTTCCTAGTCATGAATCATGCTAACCAAACTGAAAATTAAGGACACTCTCAATACTGAAAATAATAATCAAAAGAATGCAGAGAAGAAGAAACAACGTATGAAAATTAGATTTCATTATTATCATTTTAAAGTACCAGTGTTTGTACAACATAAGCATGTGAAAGGCTGAATCTCATGTGATCAACTCAATTAAACATTAAATAATTGCAGCCAATTATGCAAATATCACACAACAATATTAATTTGTTGATCTTTTTTTGAACAGTTTCAAATTTTCCTAATGTTAGACTATCTTATGTCTTAAATGATCAATTACCAGAACCATAACTAAGTGATGAAGAATGGATAACTGCCTAGTTATGATGTACCATACTCTTTCTATGTAAATCTGTTGCAATTAAACAAATAGGGCACATGGAGAAAAGATGTGCAGATGTTCTTTTACAATCTGTTACCAGCTCAGGGAATACCACAGCTCCCTCCTAAATTTTACAAGTGAAAACAAGGAGAATGCAGTATCAAATACTGATTGTTATTTACACATGTTATTTCTTTCCTCTTGTTAATGGGATAAAATGCACTACCAGAATTCAGAGTAGGACAGCATGCAATATCAGAAGAATTTCCTGTACTATAATGACCTGTCAGCTCTCTTCTTTAGGTTTCAAAATTTAAAACCTAAAACCTATTCACCTGGATTCCACTTGGAAACAAGCACAGCCTCGAGCTGACACAGAGAGCAAGGCAATTAACCAAGATGTGAAAGACAACAATTTACATACACACACTCCACGTTTTCATTCTTGCCTGGGAGAAAAGACCACTCACTTCTGTGGGTCATTCCACTATCAAATCTCCCCATTTTGAGTGTCCATCAGCAGAAAAAAGGGAGGTGTCTCTCTGGTCAGTGCAGGAAGCAGTGCAAAACACAACAAATGAAACCAGGTGGTTCATGGTAAATGACTTGCAACCAATTTAACAGCTTACCCAATGTAACAATTTAACAACTTCCAGGCTTACATTTCAGTAAAAGTAATTCTTCTGCCTGGTCCTTATTCCTTCTGCCTAGTGAACAGATTGCTGCTGGTACACCGAGGCCTCCATGGGGATTTTTGATATATGGAATAATTTATCAGCTCTGTCACAGCTGAGATGTTCAGTGTTGCACCACCACTTCACCATGCACCTGAACTTAGATATCTTCACTTTTCCATTTGCTGCTAAAGCAAAGATGAACTTAAGGGAAAGAATAGATTGTTCAGTACCAGTAAGCCACAAATGGTTGCTCATTACAAATCTTTACAGAGCTCCACTCCACACTCTGGTTAAAGGCACTCTTGAATTTCAGTACTGGTCTCTACCCCATGCTGCACCTTGACATATTCCCCATGTTTATATTTCCAGCCATCTAATTAAAAAAAAGGAAATACGACTAATTAAATAAAAGGAAAGACTACCAGCAGCTTATAACACATAGTAAGATACTGAACAAAGACCAGCACAGGATACAAATTCAAATGGTCACAACACTATGGCTACCGTGAGTGAAACAACATTTTGTGTTTGCAGTTGTAGACTAAAGAAAAAATTATCCATCAATTTTTAGTGATAGTTACATTGTCAGAGAGAACCTTCAACTGTTCTTCATTAAAAGATCAGACTGGACTGCAGTCAAAGACAGGAAAAATCATCTGAGGGAGCAGAACAAAGTGATGGCTAAGGAGGGGTCTTCAAAAGGTGACCAAAAGTGAACAGGAAGCCATAAGGCTGCTCTTTAACAGCTGCATAAGGCATGGATGGTCCACTAGAAATTATATTTTGCGTTTTTAAGCTGTGTTAACAAATGCCAGTAACTACAAAAGACTTATTAAGCATGGGAGAGATACTGTTGGTCTTAAAAAAATTAAAGTGCTAAATGTTTCCCTTAATACTGGTGCATCTCTACTGCAAACTAGAACAAGAAATGTTTCACTTTTACTTCTTATAGGACTCCAATAAAGTGTTAATAAAGTTCCACCAGTTTTATACTGAAGTAGCACTTTGGAACATGGATACAGAATATGGTTATCCTTTTTGGCAAGAGGTATCTTAAAGCTGTTCAACAAAGCTGTGTGCAGAAGGAGAAAGCTAATAAATATTACAGGATGGTCGTCAGGGAACATTTGCAGAAGTTACTTCCCCAGCTACATGCTCTGTATTGCTTCCAAAGAACCAGGACTGCATGTGGGAAAGCAGCATTCTATGGATTATCTGCTTAACCAGAATGAAATCAGGGCTTGAACCAAAGCCCTTTCCTTCCAGACATTTTCTGCTGACAACCCTGCTTGTTCCTTAACAGGAAGGCCCCTCCACAGCACACGTGTCAAAGGAGGCTGGACACAGCAAGTATGGGAAAGGGACAACATTTTTCTGATCTAAATTATGTGAGTGGGTGATGAAAGAAACTCCTCAATCCAAAGGTTTGGTTGCTGTGAAGAATGGCTCTATTTTCACAGCCAAAGTTGTCTAATCTCACTTTCCAGACCTCACCTGGAAGGCAACAGCGTGTCTGCAGAGCCCAGCCCTGCTAGGCCAGAGGGGAACTTCATCTCATTTTGAAAAGCCTGACACAGCCTTTTGGATCTTGTCCAGAAGGATGCACTGAGCTCTTAGACAGGAACACACTGCCCAAGCAGCCACTGCAAATCCCCAGGGAGGGAAGGGCAACAGGCCCACAGGGACCATCCTGCAGGCTACACCGACCCAGAGAATTTTGGGCTAAAGGCCAGAGTTACTGGACAGAGTATGAGGGCACCTACCAGGCTATGCAACTCAGGAATCTCCCATACCAGCAGAGTATGAAAGGATGGAGTGTATGGCTAAATTTGTTTCCCAAACCCAGAGCAAAAGGCAGAACAATGCCAACAGAACCCTGTGGGCAGCTAACAGGCCACATCCTCCTGTGACACACGTGCTGTTGGTGGAGGCAGTAAACAAACCAAACTGAAGAGCAGTTGAAGAGCATTTTACAAATTTCCAGACTCTATATAAGGAGGCACTAAGAAAACCATTGGGAAAGTTCTATTGCTAACATTTAGCACCTCTACCAAGAAGACAGGCTTCTACCAAGAGGATTACAGTAGAAATCAAAATGATTGTGTTCACGTTTGCCAGATTGTGGAAACAATCATCCTGGGGAGAAAATTGATACTGGGATTATGCACTGGCAGCTACAGAATTTGTCACTGTTCAGATGTCAGGTCTGTCTGGAGGCTCTGAACTCTGCCACCCTCACGACACCAGCACTGCCCAGTCGCTGTCTTCTCTTCCATACTGAAACAAAGCAAAAAAAATGAAGTTTAAGAATAAAAGTTGAAAGACTCAGTGTATGTTTATAACAACTTCTCAGGTCTATCCTCAGAAAGGTTCATTTTCACTGCTCTGGCAGTAGTTTACATTGGTTTTTATGCCTTTACTTGCCTTGGATTTGGGCACAGACTGAAGACAGATTGCTTTACCCACATTACAATAGCTGGTTCAGGAAGGAGCAGAGCTGATACTCATCACAGATGACACAGAACAGCCCTGCTTCACTTCCATCAGTTTAATGCAGTTACTCCCTGAGGCCTGCTCACTAATTCACTATAACTATGCCCCTGCTCAAGCTCCAATAAACAAACACATTTCATTTTATTTCCTTTTATTGTCAAGGTGGCTTTTTATTACAACATTCTGATTGAATGTGAAATAAAACCATCACAAATACCGCAGAGTACAATTAGGGAGAACTGTAATCCAAAATAAAACAAGTTGTCTTTCCGTGCACAAACGAATGGGATCACCAAGCAGAAATGAAGGCAACCCATGGCATGCAGCCACATCCAGGGGAGGATTCAGCCCCCAGGCTGCACTTCTGACAGCTAGACTGCTTCCATGTTCTAAAGCTCTGTCACCAGCCCTGTAAACAACGCTCCAGAGAGACCCCAGAACACACACAGGGCTCAAGCAGGTAAGTAATTCAGAGGTGGAGGGACAGCAGCAGATGGGAGTCCCTTCCCTTAGAGTGTTATACTCAGAGAGCTTGAAAACACCTTCAACCAAGAAATGAAAACTGATTTTGGAGGCTTTAGGCAGGCTAAAAAGATCACTTTCCTCCAGTACAGGTTCTGCATCAGCAGGAAATGTGAGAACAGGTCACTAAAGCAGGGAAAAGACAACAGCTCCACCTCAGGATGAGCCAGAAGAAACACACTTCTAGATCCACAAAGGAATGGTGCTCAGTGGGTTCGTGTTTTACTCCTTACTCCAGCAGGCAAAGCTCTAACCGACCCTCAAAATTACCACATCTTCCTTTCATTATTAATTCTGCTGCTCCTGTTCTGCAGTTGCAGTTATTTGCAAATTTTGTTATCTTTAGGCAGCAGTATCATCCAATGCTCCAATACAGAAATTGTTGCAGGGGCCAGTCTGAGTTGCCATTTGGCTAGAGTTTGCACCTGCAAAGAGGGGAATGAAGCTGCAATACCACGATGAAAATAATTTCTTTCTGCAAATAAAAGCAAATTTAGCTTCCAGTTTTAATTCTTTCAAGGGCTTTGTCATCTCAGGCTAGTCAATCTGATCCCTCTTCCACTGTCCACCACCTCCAGGTCATTCTTTATAAAAATTAACACATCCATGGTTCTTTCCTGTATGTTTTTCACTGCCCAGAGAAAGAAAGGGGCTTTGATTAAATGTTTCTTCTCTGCTGTTTTGCCTGCAGTGTTTAAATGTATTTAATAACATGTAGCATAAGCAATAGATCTTATTTTCTATCCATCCCTTCCAAGCTGCAGCTTAATCCATGTCTTAAAGGGCACAGCAAAAGCTTGTTTATTCTCAAAGCATGGCTGCAAACCCACAGGAACACGAGTGGCATTTCAGTGAGTGTATTCCCAGAGAAAAGAACCTCATCCCTAAATCTTCCCACTCAAGCAGCTATGGAAGAGTGCACTGTTACTAATTCATTCATAAGCACACCACTCATTTATATAATGTATGCTCTTTAATTTGAAGTCTTTATCAGCCTTTAGTAACCATGATATCTATGCAGTGACAGGAAGGGAAATGTGAAGTGCAGTGCCACCACTGTCCCTCTCAACTGGCATGAGAAATTGAATCAGTTCTGCCCACGAGTTTCTAATTTGTCACTCCAGCTCTGGTTCCACTGAGCAGCTGCTCACATCTGAAGACATCCCACTGAACACTGCACTCTTGCAAGAGATCAGTGTGAAACCAGACTTGGAAACACAACAGTGAAGAGAACATGAAAATAACAAAAGCAGCATGTGCTCTACACAAGGGAACTGGTGTAACAACAATGGACATGGAGCCTGCACCTCCTGGTCACAGGTGCTCACACAGGACATGGTGGTGCTGAGAATTCCCACTTTTTTACAAATTCCCATGGTTCAACATGAAATGCACCCACTGCCCCAGGCAACAAAACAGCACAGAGACCAGAGCTGTGTTTGACTGCTATTTCTATTGCACTTTATGATCCAAAACTGGAAGATTCTTTGGAATTACAGCCTCAGGTTGTCCAAATGACACCACAATAATCCAATGATAATGCAAAGAGATCTGTTATTTTTTTTCTTCTGGTAGAGAATACAGAAGATCCTGATCAAAGATTCTCCTCCAACATTTTTAGGATTATTTTACAGTCCACTTTTTGAGTCACAGCATTGTTCTCTGTGTGACATCATGGGGTCCTTCTGGATATGAGCCCATCTCTCCACAGATAGGAAGGTGCAGAAACAAAACCAGCAACCACTGATTGACTCTTAATGGGGAAGCAACCACCAGTCTATTTAAAATCAATGATTTTAAAGATGGTTTTCAATGGTTACGTCTTCTAACTCTCCTGTTTTGTTTTTTTTAAAGAAGGAAGAGAACCCAGAATTAAGAATACAAATAACAGTTCAGCATTTTCCAGGAGTAACAAATTTACTCCTGGCACGTAAGTAATGAACACAGACTAGCTACACACAGCTGAAAGGTGAAAAGTTCCACATCAACAGGCAATAAAGTGAAAAATCCCAGGAAAGATAATGTTTAGTAACAATCCACAGTTTTCCAGCCTTGGCTGGTGGTGGAACACCAGGGTGATAAGGCAGGAGGCAATGGGCAGGAACTGATGCCCTGGAGGTTCCACCTCAACATGAGGAAGAACTTCTTCACCGTGCAGTGCCCGAGCACTGGACAGACTGTCCAGAGAGAGTGTGGAGTCCCCCTAGCTGGAAATATTCCAAAACTGTCTGGACACAGTCCTGGGCCATGTGCTGGAGCTGGGAGGTGGCACCAGGTGACCCCTGTGGGCCCTTCCAGCCTGACCCACCCTGTGCTCAGGGGGGCATCAGCCTTTCCCTCAGGGAAAAGCCTGGACACCCTTGTCTTGCACTGCTCACTGCCTCAAGGGAGGAAGAACAGACCACAGGAGTACTGGCAGGAACATAAAAATTTTAGTGGCAAATCTAAGAACACTCAGAGCCAAAAATGTAGAACGGAAACCACCAGAGTCAATTTGAAGAAATCCTGGCAATACTGCCAAGAAACTGCTATCAGATCTTAAAAAAAGGGGCTGTGCAACTTGCCAATTTCTTCTCCTATCCCCAAATCCCCCACACCATAAACTACACTAAATAAGGAAAAAAACCCAGGCAACTTTAATAAGAAGGGCCATACCTGCTGCTCTCAGACTTCACCTGAAATGGTTCCTGGAATGCCCAGACATGGAGATAAAGCACAGATTCCAAACAGACTTTGATATTCAGAACATGACAGAGGAGGAAACTGCTTTAAGGATGAGAAGTGATCGTGTGATTGGAAAGATAATGAGAAATGGTGATCAGCTGCCTGTGCCCAGTGAGTGTTTAATTGCCTCACTCATCTCTTTATTGATTAACCTGTACTCATTTGTGGTTGTGGTTAAGATGTTTCATAATCCTGTCTTTTTCCCTTAAAAAGCAACCTCTAACAACAGTATTAGACTTCACTGGTAACAGTTGTACCTTCCAACTCTCATCCACCTTCCAAGATGCAGGAAAAAATTACACTATACCTCATCTCTACCACACTTTCTCAAGGAAAGAAAATTGGCAGAATAATCCCACTAGACAAAAGGGTCTACATTATTGTATAATGCCATCTGTAGCATCACTACCAAAATATTATTTCCCATTCCTTTCAAACGTTCGCTTTTTATTATTTTACCTGGTTATAGAAGAGCAAACACCTTACCTGGATATCAGTTAGCTTATTCAGGAAACGGGTTGTTACCTCAGGCCCATTCTCCATAGTTGGGATGTGCAAGTGCTGCCATGGAATAAAGGAGAGGGACAAGGGGAGAGAAAGAGAATAACATGTAATAACAGCTTTACATATATATGAATACCTTATGGCTGCCAGAAGTTTTAGTAAGTATTTATCAATATTTGTATTTATCTAGCCCTCCTTTTGAGTAGGAAAGGGTGGTTAGTTTGGGGTTTTTGGTTGGTTTTTTTGAACAGGAGGGTGTTGTTAAGCCAGTGAAAAGTTAGAGAGTTAAACTGTTATGATCCTGCTCAAAAAAGGCTAATCCAAGCCTCCCAAGAGATCTGTCCAAAATGGAGGGGATATTGTGCAGGCAAGAGAGGTAACATTATATACAGCATTTCATTTCAAGGTATATTGTGTAGAAACACAACACTTACATGTACAGTACTTCCCACTCAGCACCTCAATGTCTCAGATTATCTTAGCATCATGCAACATCAATACATTTATTTTACTTTATTCATTCAGGAAGTATCACCCAACAGACATTTATTGTACTTATGATGTTTAGTGGACAAAGCACAGCCCTTCATGCAGCTGCACTGCCCCTGGTTCTCTGAGCTAACTTGGTGCTGACTAAATAACACCAAGTCAGCTTAACAGTCTGAATGCCTGGGGAGTTCCACCTGTGCAGGAGAAATCTCCCAAATTTTGAGCAGCAGGTGAAGGCAGCTGTGCACTGCTTGGAAACAGAGCTGGGATCCCTGCAGTGAACAAGAGAGGAACTTGAGAGGGAAGGACAGCAGTGGCACAGAAATTTGGTTCCCTGTAAAAGCCTTTTCTCTCCTCACCCTCCCCAGGTACCTTAGCAAAAAATACTGAATAAAAGAAATGTGTAAGAATGTCTTTTTCTGCAATTGCAAACAGGCTGGGAACTGGTTTTTTCTTTCATTTTTTCCTGAACTTGAGATTTTATGTTTTCAGCTATTAGGAAGAACCCCAGATGACAAAAGTTCCCTTCTGACAACCAGTAACTCACTTGGGAAACAACACACTGACACTGTTTATCCTTCCAGGCAGTGCACCTTCTCTATCTCCCTTGGTTTTGGCTTTCAGCTGCAATTAACTGTGATAAAACTCAGAAGAAAGAAGGACAGGGGTTTAAAAAGAGACACTTCCTTACCTTGCCCTTATATAAAATTTTAGAGATGGGACATACAATGCAAGCTGTTCCAGCACCAAACATCTCCTTTACTCTGTTCTCTTCCAAGGCAGCTGTCAGGTCACTCATGGTGATGTATCGCTCAGACACTTTGAATTCTCCCTGCAAAAGAATCAGCAACCATAAAAATTGGAAAAAGTTTAAAAAAAAACCCCATTACTGTTTTTGTTTTCTACACTGAACCACTTCCAACAGGATTTCAGCCTAGTGACAGTAAGTCAAGTTTTGACTCTGATCTTGTGATCTTTTCAAACATGCCAGTTTCACACAAGACAGATTTTCATCGAAAGAAAACGCCCCAAAAGATGCCAGTGGTCTGCCAGGTGCAATGCTGATGATTAAGTGGCACTGCCCTCTGGTTTGGTGCAGGGTATCAGTACCACGTTAGGGAATAACAAAGAAGAATTGTTACGGGACACCGGATCTCTCCACTCATGGTCTCCAGCCTGTTAGAATTTGTCCCAAAATTACTCAATGATATCAAGAGAGCCTTTGCATCTCAGCCTCAGACAATTCCTAAGCAAGATACAGTCTGTTGATTAATTTCACCTGTCAGGCCAATTTATGAAATGTATTTTTTTAATCTCTAGTGAAATTTCCCACTGCATCCTGCAAACAGCTGTCACATACAAAAATTAACTGCACTACAGGTATGACTAAAGCCATTTGCACTGCAGTCTTGACACTGGGAGTGTTTTACCCTCTGCAAGAGTGGAAAAATGCACAGGAATCAATTGAAGGGATGTGTTTCAAGAAAAAAAAAAGAAATGTCAGACTTTGAAATTTTTATTTCATATAAATGTTTCTTTTATGTACATGGTATTCCTGTTATCCCACCCTAAGCATAACCCCAGCCAAATCCAGGAGACAGGATCCTGGGCTTGATGAGCCTCTGGCTGTGTAGCACCCTTCCCCAGGCTGCAATAAAACCTTTGAATACAGCAAGGCAGAGTGTGCTGCATTTCCAGGTATGCTGCAGTCCCAAGTGTCCAAATCAGCCCTTGGATTGCTGCACTACAGAACAGGAACCAGACTGTGGCTGGGCAGGCTGCATGCTTGTTAGCAGCAACAAGGTTGGAAGCATGAGAACTAAATGCAGAAACACTGAGCTGATGACTGAAGTGCAGCTACGGTCACGCACAGTAATTCTCTGTTTCCTTGCTCTAAGTGCTGCTGGTACCAGTGGATTTAATGAGAATTTTCATGTGAAATACTGCATGGAGCTACTTCAACAAGCTGGGTATTGTTCTGTGTGACAGGTGTGGGTGATGCTCCTGAGAATCCCTGAATGAGCACACCCTGAGTTCCCAGCAGGTTCAAGGGAATGCTCAGCCAGTTCTGTGCTGCGTGGCAGGGCTGACAGGCTGAAGAGGTGCCGTGCAGAGGGGTGAAACCCTTGAAAGCAGGGTTTCTGACAGGCTGCACACAGCTCTGAGCTGTCTGATCTAGTGGAAGATGCCCCTGCTCACTGCAGGGAGGCTGGAATGGATGGCCTTCAAGGTCCTTTCCAAGGCCAGGCTGGATGGGCTCTGAGCAGCCTGGGGCAGTGCCAGGTGTCCCTGCCCATGGCAGGGGCTGGAATGAGATGATTTTTAAGGTCTCCTCCAACCCAAGGTCCTTTCCAAGGCCAGGCTGGATGGGCTCTGAGCAGCCTGCGGCAGTGCCAGGTGTCCTTGCCCCATGGCAGGGACTGGAATGAGATGACTTTTAAGGTCTCCTCCAACTCAGACCCTTGTATGATCCTAGGAAGCCAGACTGATCACATTATTTAATCAAATCAGTGGAACTTTAGGATATGAGCACCAGAAATGTTGACTTCTGCTGAAGTTGTAACATGACAATTGAAAGCATTACTGCCAAAGCACTCACCCAGCTGCGTGCCAGATCCAAAATGCTCTGCCTTGTCACTCCTGGAAGGATGATGCCATCTAAAGGTGGCGTTGCCAGCTCATTTTCTGCCAAGCAAAAAAAGCATTGGTTGTAAAACAAATGAAGAAACAAATAAATAAAAGTTTACTGATATTACACCAAACATGTGGGTCCCTTACAACTCAGGATACTCAGGATATTCCATGGTTCTGTGGCAGCAAAAACAACCCCTACCCTGTAAGATGCAACATTTCTCCGAGTTCTCCAGGAACACAAACAGACACTCAGTTCAGGTTAAGTTGTTGTTGAGTGTTTGGAATGTTTTTTGTTCACCTTTCATTATAACATTTAGGTATTAACGTATTAAATATGTTTTTTCCCCCACCTTTTGGGCAGGGAAGAAACACATTTAATACATGAATATACACATGCCTAATGCCTTGGAGGTTATATTGCACCTATAAATGTGTAACTGCACTGTGTTTCTACTGCAAACCATTAAATGGTTCAGTCTCCAGATGCACAGCAGAAAGGCAGAGGGAAAGTCATGCCTAATAAACCCAGGACACATCACAACTCTCCTTGAAAAGTATTCCCTAATTCAGGAATAGGGGATTTAGCATACCCATTTCACAGCAGCAATACAGAACATTTACCAAAAATTCTGAAGTTCATTTAATGAACCAGCAAAGCAGTGGAAAGCTTGCCAACCCTCTTTGGAAGGAGATTTCTTACTGATCCTTTGTTGTAGTCCAGACACCCTTTTTCTGTACTAATTTTCTCTTTACACAATTAGAGCAATCCTAAGAAAAATCCAACAACGACAACAATAATTCAAGTTGTTAATCTGTTTGGTTTGTGAGTGTTTCTTGTTTGCTTTTCAAAAAGAGCAGTAGATAAACGTTCATCTAACAAAACTAATGAAATGGTGGATAAATGGCAAACAATAAACACTTGGTTAAACAATCCATGCTTGGAAAATACTTAAAGCACAGGTCTCTATGCAGACTTTGTTCTTGCATCTGATCTCTGCAGCAATCAGAGCAAATCTTTTTCATTTTAAGCCATCACATAATGCACTCACTGGTTTCTATCATCAGAGAAGACTGACCTTTTACTCTTTTCACACAGAGATTTGTAAGACAGTGTCAAATCTGCACTGAGAAGTGAAGACACCCAGAGTCCTTCAGTAGTACTCTTCATATTGTTTCCTAACCACTTTCTTTCCCTACTTAGAATCCTTTTTCTTTCTTTACCTTATATACTATCCCTGCTCAATAAATCCACAAACCATGAAGAGCTTTGTTTATTTTTTACCTAGGTCAGATAAAAAACCCAGTTAAAACATGAAGGTATATATTTTATGTCCCCTTTCTCCCTGGCTGCAAAAAGATCACTGAGTCCAGGCCTGACTGAACCTTTCTCCAAGGAGAAGCTCTCATGAATGTATTTCTAGAGATGCTGTGAATATTGCAGCTGGGTAGAAGAGAGGAACGTGGTGCTTGTCCTTGGTGCGGGGGAGCAGGTTGAGCTCAGCCAGCTCAGTGCTGTTTTCAGCACTGTATTTCTAGAGATGCTGTGAATATTGCAGCTGGGTAGAAGAGAGGAACGAGGTGTTTGTCCTTGGTGTGTGGGAGCAGGTTGAGCTCAGCAGCTCAGTGCTGTTTTCAGCACACCACGAGAGATTTCTGTGCACAAACACTGCCTGCCAGCTCTGGCCTGAGCACATCCTGGGCTGCCCACCCTGCAGGAGGGGCACTGGGAGCTGGGATGGGACAGGGGAGGTGGAGGATAAATTCACTGAATCTGCTACTCACTGCCCACTCTCTCAGGAAATAATCTGTTACCTCCTCATGCAGCCACCCCTTGATTTATTCTCCTACCAGTGCTTCCACGTTCCTTTTATGAGGATCTATAAACACATCAGTAACAGGGGGAAAAGTGCCATGCCAAAATGCACAGAAATGCTGCCCTAGGACAGGCTGTACGCTCTGCTCTGGTTTGAGTAGCCCAGAGTGCCATTCCCCAACCTATCCCAGACTTCTAATTCCATCAGCCCTCCCTTCTTCCTCATACAGCCAGGAATAACTGCATTTCCTTTCTGGAGTCTGTCCAGCATCACTCCTCTTTGTGGTGCATGTCTGGTCCTCATTCTGGCACAGCTATCACAAGGAGAAGACTTTAAAACTTCCCAAGAGCCACAGGGCTCACCTGATTCTAAACACTGAAAACCTGAAATTCTGCATTTGTGACCCAGTCACAGTCTAATACACTCCTTTCTTTAACAGAAAACTTCAGATAACGTGGACTTTGATACCAAAGATTGTGATTACACTTCTCTGTCTGGTGATGTTGCCACAGATCTTGTCCAGGACCCGTTTAAGCCCAATAACATATATTAATTGATTTGAGCTAGTTTGAAAAGGTGCCAGGCCAAGCCAGCTGCCAAACAACACCGAGCAGACAGGACATGGAAGTCTCAAAATGTTCCAAACAGGCTGCTCTGTAGAATTCTGTCAAGTGTGCATATGATGCCTCCCAGCCTGGGGCCAGCCAGGGAACATCTGCTCCCCTGGGATCCAGCAAGGGATGGCAACACCATCCAACACGGCATGCCAAAAGCTCATCCTCTCTGGGAACTGGTGCCAAAGCAGGCTCCATGTGACATCAGCGTGTCCATCTCCCAAAAAGCAGACTGTGGGCTCACAGGCTCCACCTGCCTTCTGAGTTCTTCTGATGGGCTTGGATGTATAGCTGCAAAAAGCGGGAGGAAAGCGTTTCAGGGGAAATGTCAGGTGTCTCTTCAGCTGACTCCTGTTATCGTTCTACCAGCAGCACAGCCTGCCCAGTGCCCTGTTCAACCTGCTACAGGCTTGCTCTAACAGCAGAATTCCACCAGAGTGTTTAAGAGGGTTTTTAAACCGAGCTCTTCCATGTTACACAAGGGCGGCTTTTGAAGACCTGTGCCTCTGAACACAGAGCAACGCCTTCAGGACTAGCCAGGCTGCAGCAATGCTGAGGAATTCACCCAAATACACATTTTAGCAGAGTGATACATTCCAAGTGAACTTCAGGATCCAGGAGAAACCAGAAAACCCCATTTTCACTGGTATTAACAGCTAATTTCCTCTACCAGCTTGTGCTGGGTCTCTCCTTACTTCCCTCAGGTTTTCCTTCAACTCTTCCCTCATGCAATCACTGCCTTTGCATCCGTCTGTTAATTTGCTTTCCTCAATTACTTTTCCATCCTTTGCTTTGTCCACCACCTCATTCATTTGCTGCTCTCCCCTCCACTCTATTTCTGGGGCTCTCTACTAGAAGAGAAGCTACAATCCTGATTTTGTTAGCACTGTAATTGCACAAGACACTTTTGCAGCACAACTAATGTTCCAACTACAGAATAACTAGCCTTAAATTTTACCTGATTGCTTCAGAGAAACTTTTAACAGATTTACTTCTTAACTTATGTAATTTTGAAGTGGGGACTATTAATCACCATTTCAACTGCAGCACACAAATATTAAATAATGCCCAAATACTATTCACAGTGCCTTAACACTGAAGACAGAAGTAGAGCCCAAATGGCTGCAAATCATTCTGAAGAAATGGAAGTTTTCAAAACTGCACACAGATTTCACAGCTAGCATCTTCAGGTTGGACATGTGTTTAAATTTTAAGGTTTTCCATACAGCCAAGCCTATATTCTAGGCAGAAGAACAGACATTGAGAGAGAAAGTGAGTTTCAATATCAAGAACTTCCTGGGATAGCTACACGCTCTGAAGAAGCATTTGGAAGGGACTGTAGAGTGACTAAATTTTTCACTTAGTGAACATAAACAGGATTTGATAATGAGGATTTTAGGCAATAGCAGAGATCCAGATTTGGCCATCTAAATTTTTCACTTAGTGAACATAAACAGGATTTGATCAATGAGGTTTTTAGGTAATAGCAGAGATCCAGATTTGGCCACATTATAAGCCTCAGAGCAGCAGTGGGAATACAAGAACAGCATGGAGCAAGTCCTGCTGTTTTACCAAAAACTGAGCAGTTTTTTTCCCCTACTCCCTCCCTGATGTTACAAACAAAATATTTTTTTCAGGCTCCTCCTGCCATGCAGGACAAGATGTCACCTTTAGGCAAAAAGGCTGCAGGGAAAGCCCACTCCCACTGGGAGCATGGCTGTCCTCCAGGCCAGGCTTTACTGGGATAAGCTCTGCTTCCAAAGCAGGGAGAGCAGCTCAGCTCCCAGCAGCGAGCTCAGAACACACAAAGATGGGCATTTGCTTTTGATGATCATCTGCAATTTCTGCCTCACTTTTTTTTGATCCCTCTCAGCTGCAGCACTGGCATAAGAAAACCAAAGCACAGCCTGAGTGGGTGTCCTTTGTGAAGTGACAGAACACAGTGACAGACACATTCCAAACCCCCACGGCAAAGCCACAGGCAGGTAGGTGATGACACATTCTCAGCCAAAAAATCCCACAAATGAAGAGCTACTCAGCACCCTGGGAGACAGCAAAGTGCTCCACGAGGGTAGTGCCCATGTCCTGTGAAAGGACAGGTCTGCCAGCAGCCAGCCCTGTTGGGTGGCAGGAATTCCAAGTTGTTTGCTCCAGCCACCTCACAATAGCAGCATTGAGCCCTGCCCTGGTGGCACAGTGATTGGCAGCCCTTTGGAACAGCACCGTGCTGCAGCTGCCTAATTCCAGCATATTCCTGCTTTAAGGACAATGAGAACATTGAATTCTAATTATGTCCCCGCTTCTGTGTCCTTCCCTGGGCAGAACGAGCCAAAATCTATTTTCCTGTTTTTCCAGCTAAGTTCCACCAGGCATAATTTTGGCCATCTATCTACACTGACAGATCAACTGCTGCTGCAGCAGCAAGAAAATGTCTGATATTTGTCACTTCATTCACAAAGCTTCACAGACTTGCTCAGCACTGAGGGACTGTTATTCCTCTTCTTACAAACGTGGTAAAGATTTTGCAGAAGAACAAGCAACACAACTGGAGGTGGAAGGCAGGTAGCTGGATCCCAACCACACCACATTATCCAAGGCACACTGCTATCCCCACAAAATGCTGCCTGCTTTCTGCAGAAAGATGACAGTTGTCAAAGGTACCCATGGCACTGCAATGATATCTGTCTGACCCCTGCATCTGCTGCCAGGAAAAAATTCAGAGATGAAAATCACTTTTATTCAAGAAGAAAGCCTTCTTGGGGAAAAAAAAAAAGGAAGAGAAGTCTTTTATTCCCTTGCCTGTAGTCTTCCAAACCAGTTATCAGGTGCAGCTATCACAGCTATGACAAGCACTGAACACTTGCATACCCAGTGGGTGCTTTTAGATGCCCATATAGTTGGCTGTTTTTAATAGTTACTTTTAATAGTTTAATCTGTCCCTTGCTCAGAGATGCCTGTGGGTAGAAAGAGGTAAAAATAGGTTCAAGAATGATGATACATCCTGAAAGCATCTGCTGGGCATTATTGATACCTGACACTCACTGGCAGGTTTCTCTCTCCCTGCCACCACTGGACAGAACTTCAAATTCTTCAAAGAAAACGTTTTGGACTGGATGCTGCAATACTTCTGGATATGGCCCAGGAATATCTGACTGGCCAGGAAACGATGATGGGAGCCACTGATACTCAAAGCTACAGAGCCTGAAGGGCTGCACAGCCCAAGCTGCCTTTTAGCCCATCTGCACTGCTTCTGAGCCAACACACCACGCTGCTGGCCCCCAAGCTGAAGTGTGACCTTGTGCAGGGCTGAGCTCTGCCCTCTGAGCACAGGGACCAGCCCAGCAGTTTGGTCTGTTCCCAGCAGGCAGCACTCACAGCTGCTCCAGAATCCCCTCTCTCACAACCAGCACTCACCCAGTGACTTGCAGAAGAGAACAGGCACTTGCTTTGTTAAACCATCTTCATTAAGAAGATTGTGATCTGCATTCTAACAATCATTTTGTGGACTACAGTCCCAATCATCTGCTCTGTTAAAGTTTTCACTCTTTGTGTTAGCATACCTCCATCTTCATTTATCCAGTAGAGAAACAGATTCATTGTTCCAACTTCAGTTATTTGGTGATCTTCTCCATAGAGCCACAAAACCTGCTGGCAGCCAAACTCCAGGGCTTCTTGCTGGGCATAAATAGCAGAACCATAATTCCTTCAGGGCAAAAAAAAGAATCCAATGAGTTATGAGTTATGAAGGCTGGACACCTTCTCAATTTAAAGAAGATTTTGTGCACATCTGCCTCATGAGCAAGTGCTCTGCAACAGTCTCTGCTTGGCCCTGGGATATTTCCACTGGAAATATTCTACCAGTATTTTACTGGATTGTCTGTACCTAAAACCCAAAAACTTTGAAGGGCTGAACAGCACCAACAACTCAAACATATCCATCCAAACTGTATTAACATACCTCTTGTTCCATATACTGGACATTGCAATGAATGCAACTGAAAACCCTCAGAAAGCATTTATCTTTATTTAGTGGTTGGCATCATTTCCCTCCAGGTTTTGGGATCTTTTGGTGTTTTTCTTGGGGTTTTTGTTTTTTTTAATTCATCTACCTCATGTCAGATGAAACTCTTGGAGCACAAATAACACCAGAGGTGAGAGGTTTTTATCCCTAATAAAAGATATTAAGAGAGCTATCACCTTCAGGAAATGCAACTGTGTCTACATTAATTCCATATTCTTTAGGAGCAAATTTTTCTAAAATGCTGCCTACAGATTGAACCTGACTGAATAAAGCCTGCTGCTTTGAGGGGGGGAAAAACCCTTTTTGCTTCTGATCTTCAACAACCTTCAAGATGCAAAGTCAGCAGCTCCAAAATGCTGACTACACTGAAGACAAATTCCCATCTCTGGGCACAAATCAAGTCAGTAATGACTCCAGACTACTGTTTTTCACAGCTGATGTATGAAGGATCCACAGGAAACAATGTATTTCTAGAAGTAAGAATCTCATTTAAAAAATCTCTTTCAAAACCAAGACCTCATTTAAAACCTCAAGAACAAAATCTCATTTTAAAAAGTCTCTTTTTTTAAAAAAAAGAGCAAAGATTCAGAACATCAGCTTGAAAGAAGGAAAGTTATTTTCCTGCCCTCTGACTATTTTAGCAGCTCAGCTCAGCAGTACTTGACAGCTACTGACTCCTGCCTGGCAAAGAAACTCCTGGCTAGGAGAATCCAAGGAAAGAGGTGAGCAGCCAGAGCTGGCAGCAGCTCCTGCACTGATGATGCAGCACAAAGTGCAGCTCCAGTGCCAACAGCTGCAAGGGCAAGAGCCAAAATATCACATGGACACCTTCCAGGTGCAGCTCCTCAGCTTGAGATGCTGCAAAAAGAAAATCAACTGGCTGTAATATTTAAATAAAAATATGCAACTGAGTTGCATAAGTAATATTTGCCAAGTACAGTTCTGAACTCTTTTCTGTAGCACATTGTTTATTTAACTGCTGCACTTCATGTCTCTGTTTCTGCTGGATTAGATACTTCACTAAAATCCCAATCTGCTTTGGGAGCTGTGTGGAAAAGGCAGGATGATGTTTCCTTACCCTCCCACTTTGCAGTCTCCTGTTCCCCCTTTCCAGGCTCTCACGTATTTTGGATCTGCCCATAAGGATATTGGATTAAAGCTTCCACTTGCAAAGTAAGGGCCCACAGGGCTCAGAATGACATACAGCAGGGCTTTAGTTGGCTTCTTCACTCCAAGGGAAGGCTGAAAATAAATGTAAACAAATCCAAAGTTACTGCTGTCCTCCAAACATCAGGGGCTGCACCATCAGCTTGTCAAACACTGCTCTCAGTGGGACTGCAGCATGAGAGGGCTTTTACCAGCACAGTGCAGAGTGCTGCAACAAATAAAAAATATTTCTATCATTTCCCCTCCATCCAAGCAACACAACAACCCTAATTTTAATTCCTATCACCGTTCACTTACAGCCATTCCATTGATCTATATGTTATTCTAACACTCTCAAACAGTTTTAAGTTTTTGAGAATTCAAAGATTAGCTTAACAAAGTGCCATACAATTATATTAATATAATACACTATAATACAAAATAATAGAATACAATATACAATACATAATACAACATAATATATAATACAATATATGAATATAATAATATTAATTAATCAAACCAGAAGCCCACAAAGCCTTCCAGGGGAAGGAGTGGCAACAACAGCAGTAACAGCAGTGGAGAAACCACTGTCAGCCGCATTAGTGAGAAGAACTGTGCAGTGCCAGCTGGCATTGCTGGAGTTGAGTGCTGGCTTTCTGAATGTCTGTGTGACAGCTGAAATTATTTGCCTGCTAAAAACAGCTCACACAACAGCCCAGGAAAGATCCAACAACGTCAGAGTTTTTTCTGCCCCTCATCTCTGAGAGATGGCTTCTCACACTCCAAGTCATCACCACCAGTACTTGAAGGTGCAGGTGAGAAGTCTGGTGTTGGCCAAAGTTCTCCAGGTGCTGAAAGGGTTCCTTGGATTTCTGTCTGCCCTGCTGCTTCAGGAAAACTTCTAACAGGATTCACTGAGAGCTTGCTGTTTTTGCTGATGTGATCACTCAAAAGATTGTGCTTCACGGGTTTCTGATTGGGGTGATTGATAAACATGCAACCTGGGAACACCATGTGATCGTGGAAAGGCCACAAGGGGTGGCTATCCTGAAACAAAGCTCGGAGCAAAAGAATTTCCAAAAACAAAATTGGGGTAAACACCCCCGTTTTAATATCAGTACCTTATAGTCACTGAGAGGAGATTCTTTAATCTGAAAATCTGCAGCTAGTTTGAAAGCATTAAATTAATGGAGTCCTAGAACTTATGTGAAATGTAAAATGCTCACATATGGTAACTACTCACAGACAGGGACGTTGCAGGAGTTTGGCTTACCTAGTCTGGGACCTACATTCTTTAGCTTCCTTGTCCTATGCTCTACCATTGTACACTTCTGTCTTGCTATGCTGAAAAAAAAGAACCCTGAAGGATTTAATAAAATAAACTCTCTGTTTCTAATTCCCTGTATCAACACTACACAACAGACTCACACATGAAACTCAGAGAGGACACATTAACAGCTATTTGCTAAGGAGCCCCTCAGAAGTTCAGTTTTCAAGAATAATTGACAGAGGGGCTAGTCCTTAGCTCCGTTGAAAGTGTCTCTTCTGAGACATCTTAATTTACAGGGTAAAATCTTCCAAAAACTCTTATGTTCAGATACAACTTGAAATTACAAAATGTACACAGCAAGCTGTGATCCATCTCCGAATTATTAGGATTTTAATATTACCATGACAGGTAGAACTATGCTTTCAGCACAACCCCAATTAACAAGCACTGCTCCATTCCCATTGTGAGAAGTGGGAGGAAATTCAGTTTATTTTCCATGCTCTGAGCCAGTGTGCCCACTGAGTGGCACTGTGGTCAACCTTAAATTCGTGCTGTGGACTCCCAAGTAAAACCACAAATCTGCCCCCAGACTTCATCCTGTCACCTACTGACTGCTGAATATCTCCCTGTATGGATGGAGGGCTTTGCCTCGTACCTGAATAAACAAAAAAATAAAAAGAGAGGGGAAAATAAATGTTGCACACCTCAGTTCCAACGAGGGTAGGACGGATATAGAGGCTGGCAGAGGTTGAGTAGGGCACCCACTCCTGCTCCACTTCCACCAGCTTACGGATGCACTCCAACAGCTCCTTCTGGTCAAAAGACTGGCAAGGAACAGAAAGGGAAAAAAGCAAATGGAGAAATAATGCTGGAACACTTTGTAGTCCTCACATGCTTCAGGGAATAGCTCCTCAGGATATGCAACAGTGACACGCTGCAGTGGTTCACATCTTCCTTGGGTTCATTCTTTACAGAATTTACTATCCCATGGTCTTAGCTACTGTGCCTTTTTGTGCAGTATCCCAAGTGACCTCCTCTGCTCCACAGTGTCCTCCTGAGATGGTAAAAAGGAGCCACTGACCCTTCCTGCCTCCAAAGCATGTGGAGAACTCCCTGTGCAGCCAACTCAGCCAGGCATACAGCACCACCTCTCCTACGCAAGAGTACTCTGCTTTACAACTCCAAGGCCAGCAAGTCCCCCAAAGTTCCCAGGTTCTTACAGCAATTAAGCCAACAAGCCTGGGAGGAAGTCCACTGGCCAAGATACAATTGCTAAAGCAGCGTTAAGTTACTGGCATGACCAAAACCAAAGGCACTCAAGAGGCTGAACAACTTAACTGAGGTGCACAGAAGAAAAGGGAGAACATCAGCACCAGAGCAAGTCAGAGAGCTGTCTGCATGCAAACTCCTGCAGGACAGCACCCATCCCTCAGAACCACTCTGAGGCAGCAGGGAGGCAACAAGGAAAGCAAAACACCCTCTGTTCTGATCTTAAAATAAGCACTTAAAGGGTTTCCTTCAGTGAGTGAGATCTGTTAACAAAGTTTTACTGCGCTACCAAAGGCTTGAGAGTGTCTGATAAACATTATTAGTGAAAAGCTGTGGAGATGTGCACTCAGAGTGAAAAGCTGCTCCGAGGAGCCTGTTTGAAGGAGCAGGAGCTGCCCTGGTACCTACTGGCAGGGTTGTCCTCAGGGCTGACCGTGCCATCCTGTCCATGTTGAGGGCCGGCCGGAACAGGCGGATTTTGCCGTCCACGCCTCGATACGCCTTCATCCCCTCGAAGAGCTGCCGGGCCAGGGAAGGGGGAGAGAGCAAACAGCAACTCAGACACCTCAGGCCGTGGTGATCCGTGCCCACGGAGCAGAGAAAAGCTTCACCCTCCTGCTGACAGCACTCAGACACGGAGACGCTAACTAGTGAGATCTGGCACTCATATGAGAGATTTACCTGCAGCACAGGCAGGTCATCTTTGCAGCATTAACTTCAGAATTCCTCATCACAGCATCCCTTTTTTTATTTTTTTTTTTCATAATTTGGTTACAGCAATTAAAATTTGTGGCATGTGTTTGGCTTAACAATTCCCTCACTTTCTTACTAATACCTGAGTCAAAACAGCGATTTTGCTTACATAAGGAATCTACAGAATTTCACTACAGATATATATACACACACACACATGTATATGTATGTATGTTAATTATTTTTAGAGCTCTGTCCAAAACACATCTTTGTTAGGAAGTATAGAATAAGGTAATTGAGAGAATTCTTGTTAAGTCCTTGCTGTAGGTGTAGCAGGAGCTGGCCACTTATTTCCCCCTCATGCCCCTATCCTGTGGGATGGGATTTAGCCTGCATGAGAGAGATGCAGCCTTACTTTAAAGATAAAAAGCATGAAACTATTTTGTCTATATACTTTACATGGAATTTAAACATCGTTATCCCATCAGACTGCAGGATCCAGACAACTGGAGTTGACAATCAGAAATCCTTATAATCCTATCAATGCCCTCCCAGTGCCTCCTAACCACATCAAAAACCACACCCACCAAATATCCAGTTATTTTCAGTTACAGACTGGTAATTTCCGATTATGCTTATAGACAGAAAACACGTGTACTATATAAACTCACATTAATATATATGTATACACAACTCTGATTTAGATTAAGTATTAAAGGCTCACTTATGCTTACAGACAACAGGTCAGATTCTCAGAATGTTATCTTGCAAAGCATTTCTTTGTTCATTAAATTTCAGTGTAAGTTCTATGAATTTAACTGCATCACCTCTGTCAGTCTCCTCAGGCTTCTCCTCCTCTGACTGTTCCACAAAATGTGGCTGGAACTGCACCCTATGTGGCTGGAAGTCTAAATATCTATATTATCTAACATTATTTTTGTTTGGAAAAAATAATCCTGTATTTGTGCCCAAGTAATTTTAACAGAGTAGGTTTCACTGTTATCAAATTCTGTATCTTTCTGTAAGAACCAGTGAAATGCAATCTTTGGAAAAAATGAGTGCAGTTCCATGGCAGAGCCAGGTCCTTCCACATGACAAATTTTAATTGGGTTGTAACTGGGTTGCAGAATCCCAGCAATTTTCCTCAGGCTGTGTGCCAATTATGTAGCAGAACCAGAATTAGAACCCAGAACTTTCTGCCTTCAAAATCTTAGTCCTATGGCAATGCCAACCTTATAAAAAGCTTGGCACAATTTTGAGAAAGAAGCTGTTCCTGGGGTAGACACTGTGCCCAAAAGAAAAAAAAAAGTCTTTAATAAAGGACAGCATAGCTGGTCATCTAGCTGATATTTTGATATGATTTTTACTGGGCCAGTCACTAACTGATAGCACATGGTTGGAATGTTGCTTTCTCATCACAGAACACATTTTCCCCCCCCCACCCTTCTCCCAAACACATTCACAGAACTTTTAATGAGAGGAAAAAGGGAGGAATGTCACTACAAAGAGTTGATCAATGGTTTGACAGAAGTAAGAATCACATCATTACTGAAACACAAAGCCTTCTCAAGATGTTAACTATTTTTCTCCAAAAAGAAGTATTTTTCATCTTCCAGAGCTCAGTAAAACCTTTCACTCATTAAAAAAGGGAGACAGTGATGTGTTCCAGAAATGTTCAGCTTTAATGAAAGCAACTGCTGTGGTTGCTGGATGGTTGGTTGCTACAGTGGTGTGAGAACAGCATTATCTGTACATCACAGGAGCTGGATCTGGAGTTCAGCAGATCCAGATTACCACACTGCATCATGAAGGGCAAGGAGAAAGGGGAGGGAATGCCAAACTCATCACTTTCATTATACCCACTGTGTATTCATTGAGCCACAGCAATGACACCAGATTCTCCTCTGTCTGTCCTCTTGGCTAGAGGAAACGTGATGCAATAAGGGTAAAAGAATAAAAAAAAAATGGGAAAAAAAAATAAGAGCATATTCATATTAGCAATGATTTCAGACCAGGCCAGAGGCCGAGCATTAAAGCAATGTGCTACTAAGAGTGAAATACAGATTTGGGACTCCAGCGTGGTTTCTCACTTCCTGGGCAGATCAAGAGCTGCAGCCTCAGTCCCAGGGACCTGCTGTAATTTACACAGGACCTCTGGAGGCTTGGTGACTAGATGAGGAAAAAATCAGTCAAAATAAAAATGGTGAAGGCGGCAGCTCAGGGACAACAAGCAGGGAAAGCTTCCCTTGTACCAGTGGTTAAAATGCACACCAAAAAAAAATTAAAAAGGAAAAAAGGCAAAATAACTCCCACCTACCTAGAAGTGGGAGACTTTGGCTCCCATTTTGGGTTCTGTGCCCTGCTGGGGCTCCCACACAGGTGTGAGCACAGCCCAAGCTGCCCTCCAGGCACCACGGGCAGCAATCAGCTAAGCACAGAAACTTTAACCACGCTGGTTTCCGACTTAACACTGCACTTCCCAAAGCTCCCTGCTGTCTGTTCCCTCCTCAAACACACCTGGACACACTGAGTGCATCAGATCTAGCCCTGAGCTCGAGGGACTGGTTCAGTTCCAACAAGCAGGTGCCTAGTCTGTCCTGCAATGCAAGCTACCAGCTTTAAACCAGCCTGAAGTGACTTTTACAGAGTGCATCTTCAGCCCCCAAATCAAAGCTACTCTGAGAAGCTCACGGTCTGACACACATCAGAGTTAGCAACTGGACCAACCCACTGTCAGTGACCAAGAGTGGTTTTTAAAATAAATTTATTACCGCTCAAGAAAGAGCTCACCTTCCCTAGGCTAGGATTTTAAGTGTGCTGGCATCCCCGGGCCACAGCTGCTTCTGTGTTACACATAACCCTGCTGTAAACAATGCAATTACTCTGGAAGAACACAAGGTAGAACTGGATGTAACTCAACACTAATGAACTTAAGGCAGTAATACTCCTGGTATTACAGAACTGTGGCTAATAATACAGAACAGTGGTTTCCAAATCAATGCACTACTCACTTCCACAGCATAATGCAGGGCTGAGGAGGCTGGATGTAAGGAGAGGTTCTCCAGAGGCCTGATACAGGGTTTCTCCCATCCTGAATCCAAGGACCATTCAATTGTCAGCATGTTATCAGTGAACACAGTTCCAAACACCAGACCAGTGGGGTCTGGCTTCTCCTTGAATGTTGTAGCTGGGGTGATAATCAAGTCGGAAGCCTGAAGGAACACGGAGACAAGAACGAAGTGTATCAAAATAATGAAGTCAGACTGATTCAAAATTATTCTGCATCAGTAAGCAAGGACAAGCCTTAATATTTTCTCTGTAGGGATATTTAATGACATGATGGTTAAAGGCAACTAACCTCTAAGTAGCTGGCAAAATATTCATAAAGTGCACACAAACGTATACACAGTGCTGTTATACAAAAAGTAGCATATTTTGAAATTCTGTTTAAGAATTAAGTTAAAGAAGCAGTACAAGATACAAACCCAGAAAACTAGCACATGAAATCTCTTGGACACTTAGGTTAACACCCTTGTACAAGTTCCACAAACACCCAATTGTTAAACCTCAGAACATAAGCTGATCATCAGAAATTAATCACCATCACAACTAAGCAGATGTTACACTGATTTTCCTTTAAATACATAAAACCAGTGTGAGAGATCAGAGCCAGCCAAGTCACTTATGCCACAATAATTTGCTCCTTCAAACACTTACAACTAAGCAGATGTTACACTGATTTTCCTTTAAATACATAAAACCAATGTGAGAGATCAGATCCAGCCAAGTCACTTATGCCACTTATGCCAATAATTTGCTCCTTCAAACACTCATGATCCTAGGAAGATCCCATTAGCAAAGAGGCTAAATGTTTCCCAGCACCAGGGACTGCAGAGACTCTCTTATAAGCCCATGACCAGCTGCAGACAAGGTTTTGTACTGGTTTTGGCTGGGATAGAGTTAATTTTCTCTGTGATAGCTCGTGTGGTGTGAATCATCCTAAAGAACAGCAGGGAAATAAGGAATGCAGACCTCTGGCATGTCAGTCCCCTTTTATTCACAGGTAGAGGCTGAACAACCAGAGAGGGCAGAGCTTTGATTCACCCTCTCCTTTCTCCTCCTATGCTTCCTTCTGAGCATTTAAACTGCTGCTCAGAGGCCAGGGAGAGTTCAAAGAACCACATTCAAAGCTCCATTTTCCTTCCTAACGTAACTCAGAAAGCACTGGCCCTTACTGCAGACCCCCAGGTGAAATCCTGCTCCTCTGTGCAATAGACAGCTCGGAATACTGATCAAGTAATTTGCAAAATTATTATCTGATCTAAAAAGGTGTTTCTGCAAGAGATTTATTTCAGTGTCTTGGACTTAGCATCCCCTCTATGCATTTTGAAAGAGACAAAACCAGTCCCAAGCTTTTGAAGAAGTGTACCCCCCATCTCTGTAAACAACCTAATTTTCCAGATGTCTTTAGTGAACAAAGACCTGTTTCTTATGGATTAGTTGTTTTGGTTTAGGTTTGTTTTTTTTTGCTTAATGGCTTAGATGTGAAATTAACTTAGAGCAGGAGCACATGAATAGCTAAAAGCTTGTTTCAACTATCTGCAATTATAAGGCTTGTCTAGATATTAGAGTGCATTAGTCTGGTTGAATTAATACATAATCTGATGAAACAACAATTACTCTTCTTAACTCTTCCCTTTATTCTTCTGATAGTGCACACTCCAACGGGAGAAGCACCAGCTAATGATGTCCTGAAACTAATTTTACCTGGCAACCTCTTAGCACTCTTATCAAGCTTTAGGAAAAAAAAGTATCACAGAAGATGTGGATCAGAGTAAAAACCACAGAGAAGTGTTTGCAATTACCCACAGTGCAGGACTCAGCCCAGGAAAACAATTACAGGGGAGCAGGGATGTCAGTGGGGCTGAAGTGAGTGTGCAGAACACAGCTGTACCTCTGGGTTTACCTCTGCAAGAGCCACAGCTGCTAAAGAGCTCTCCCTTCCCGTGCTATCAACTGCTTCCCCTGGACTCCAGGCTCCTGCATCTCGGGTCACTTTCATTAGGTTAATTAGGGTACAATAAAGTGGCCTGGGGACCGTAATTATAATTTGAAGCCTCTTCTCTAGAACTCCCATCAGCGTGCTGATCTCTCTTTCACGACTCCCTTTGCTGCCTCCTCACTGGTGGTAGCACAACTGCTCCAAAGGCATCACTTCAAACAGTTTGTTAAGTTGGCTGGGGTTAACAATAGCTTTTATTTAAGGATGGGAAAAGATTTTAACCTGGCTCTTCTCATAAACCCACCAGCAGCGCTGAGGAGCAGCAAGCTGAACAAGTGAAGAAGCACACACAGTGTTTCACTCTGAGCCCCTCGAAGGCAGAAAGCCCAGAGAGGCAGGAAACCCCGACCCTTACCCAGAAAAGCAGCAGCCAATTCCCAGCCCACAGGGCTTGCTGGAACTGCACAATCTCACTGTCTGCTCTTTCTCACCTCCCTCAGAACCCGGGCAAAGCAGCTTTCTTGCAGATGCTGTGCCAACACCTGAGTCAACAGCGTCAGGTACAGCACCTGACCCTGACAATTCCTTCAAACAACAGCAGGAACAGCCTGGCCAACACCTTAGAGACAGGCTGAACTGCACAGACCAGCAGGGCAGCAATCACTCAACAGGCAAAAAGGCAATTGTTCTCATTCTTATTATTCTCTCGTTCTTATAATCCTGTTAAGCTCTCTGGAGATCCACTTTTTTTGGCCATTACTTTCTTCATATCCCTTCTTAGGACTCTATTCCTTCACCCATTATGTCTTTTTCTCCATTTTTTTTTTACCAAGCAGTGCAAATTAACAGCGTGCAACAGCACCCAAATCTTTCAGAATCTAAATGTTTTCATGTCAAGGCAGCATCAAGTGCTGCAATGCATTTGGTCTCCTTTTTCCATGGAGGAGAACACACTGAGAGGAGGATCTGGAGGGTCATCCTCTCCCACAGTGTGGTCTGCATGAAGTATCAGCTCAGCCTCTTCTGGGTGCCTGAGAAGTAGGACACCCTACACAACACCTCACCTGGCTCACAGACCCCTTGGGATTCGGGGAGGGAAAGCAAACACTCAGAAGAACCCACAAAAGGGAGCAGAGCAAGGCCAGCTGACAAATGCCAGGGTCTGATTAATCTGATTAATTAATCAATGCCCATTATGTTAACATCACTCTTTAAAAGACTGTCACTGCTATCACCGGTGACCTTCACAAACAGCAATTTACTTGCTTCCTTTGCCAACATTCCCCAAGCCCTAAGAGCAGCATGTTAAGGATGCACTAGGGACTGGATTAGCTCCCATCCAGATCTCCACTGTTTGTACTGCTAACACAAAGGGGAATTTTCAGCTAGCCTCGTGTTTTGTTTGCTTTGTTTATCAAACATGCTCTCAAGCACTGCCTGATGATGTTGCCTAATAAAACCATTAACCTGGAAGGAAAACTGGTAAATGCTGCACAAAATGGATAAGGGAGATTAAAAAAAGAAGTGGATGTGGCACATGGTCTAACAGAGTGCAGCTATTTGGCACCTGTTTTCTAAAGTAAAATCACACAGTCCCAAGCCTGCAAAATCTCCATGTCACAGCAGAAAGGGATGTAAAGATGTCCCTCCAACACCCCAGCCCAGGACACTCTGGAAAGGAATAGGAAATATCAGATTGCCCTGCCTGTGGTAGGCAAAAGGGAGTGGTATGGAAAGCAGGTGCTTATTGTGGATTTTCAGGGCTCATATGGCAACATTAAACCTGCACAGGGTGCTGGCCCCAAGAGACACCTGAGAACCCCCCCAGTGATGAATGAACAGTGCCTGCTCATTCCAGTGCAGCTTCCTCCAGGCCAAAGCTTCACCCAGCCCAAGTACAGAAGACACACTGCGACCTCATGAAACTAAAATTCATCATTTGACCGAAACAGAACACCTCAATTATGAGCTGGGCCAATTAAAGGTGACCTGCTGGTCCATGTCACTTCCAGTCAAGGCTGTGACAAGCCACCCCGGTGCCTGGCTGAGCTGGCACTCCAATGCCTGTTCCACCCCACCTCTGCAATGGCTCTGTGTGGATTTGGGGCTGACACAGCCCCTGGCCAGAGCTGCTGCTCTCCTTGTGGCATTCCCACCTTTCTCACCCCAGCCAGCCATCTCAGGTAGGTGCAGATGGCAAGGGCAGATTTTGTCCCACACTTTCTAGGAAGTTTTGGCAATGCCTTCCCAAACAATCCTTGGCTGCAGTTATTTGCACTGCACTGAAAATCCCAGGCCATAAGCTGTGACAGGTCTAACTCATTTGACACACCCAAGCTCTTCTAAGCACTGTGCTAGGCCAGGCATTTCTATCATTTAATTGAGTAAAACCAGACCTGGCAGCCCCAGCTGTAAAATAACTCACAGGTCACCTAAAAACAGCAGCAAGTTTCAGCAGAGATCCTCAAAACATTAACATGCACCCAAGTGAGACTGACTGCAATCTCCTCTGATGAAAAAGTAACCTCCCTGACCTCCAGTCCAGGTAATTAATTCAAGATCACAAGCAACTGCAATAATTTTTTATCTTGTGTGAAATTTGTAAGCATATCCTAGTAAAGATCAGGGCCTTCTCATGCGAAAACAAACACAGAAGCACAGGCAAAATCAAATAACTTGTTTTGCCCTTGCACTTGAGAACAGCAGTGGAACAAATCCTGAGAAGGAGACAGATTACAAAAAGCATAAGGAATTACTGTGATGGGGAAAGGTAACAAAGCATAGCTGAGGCGAGCTGGAGAGAATGAATAAAGTAACATTTATGTAAGCTATCCTATAATCCCTTTACCATCAATACTATTTTAAATTTACAACAGAGCCTGAGGCTTGAGAATGGAAAGTGTGCCAAGATATTATAATAAGATTTGAGGAGGAAAAAAAAGCCCTGTTTTTACTACTACTACTATCACCACAAAAAAAAAAAAATAAAAAAATAAATCCATCTTCTGCAATCCCAGGGTAAATATCAAAAATAACAGATATCTTTCAACATAAAGCTTCCTTGAAACTAAAATAAATCCATCTTCTGCAATCCCAGGGTAAATATCAAAAATAACATATCTTTCAACATAAAGCTTCCTTGTAACATCATCTGAGAAGTATGCTAGCACATGTAATTGGACTGAGTCCTGGAATCATTGCATCAGGTTG